ATTACTTTTTTTTTTTTTTTTTTTTTTTTCCTTGTGCTAACAATCCCTTTACTTACACAGTTCAAATGGCGAAACGGGTGGTTCTATTCTCTCTCCGAGAAAGCCATTGCTGCTGGAAAACCCGACCCCTGCCCTCTGCATACCGCTTGGCTTGCGGAGCTGAAAGTTATCTAGGAATGACCCTGTATTGCTTGCTATCAAATGGATTTCCTGTTGCACAACGGTTGGCTTTAATCCAAATGAAGAACTCTCTTTTTGTTTTAAAAAGTAGATTTTGTACCTGTGTTCGTCATCTACAAATCACCTCCAGTTACTTGTTGAAACTGGGCCCAGCCTCTTTCAGTTGGCGATAGAGAAGGATTCATCATCTGTACCATCCTGAACTTCTGAACAGAAAAATCCATCAATTATGTTAAGAGAGATTTAATCTAACTTCTACAGAAGAAGACTCCTTGCGAACAGAAAAAAAAAAACATGAAATTTAACAATGCCAACATTAGAGCAATGTGGAAGGAAATTGCAACACTGTGGTATGGAGATTGTTCAATAGAGATATCACAAATGAAGACATTATAACATGCTTCCTCCTGTTCAAAGACATCACGATTGAAGTTCCTTTATATTCGAGACCAAGATTGAGAGTCCTATAGTTTTGGTTTTTTTTGGTTTACTGACTGATTTATCTTCCCTAGAAGGCACAGAAACTTCGGAGAATTGAATTTATTGAGGATTGTTGAGGAAGGTTAGTATAAGAAAAGAATACGATCTTCATTGGTATAAGATGAAAAAATCAAAAGGAACGCCAAAAAAACCAAAAGGAAAGCCATGAAAGTAAGTCTTAATTTAGGAGAGGTTGTTCGAGGTGCTCCATAGATCTTAAGAGAGACTCCGGAGGGATGTTGAGTATTGTTGGGAGAGGAGTCCCACACGTTGGTACAAGGAATCCTATCTCTGTTGGGATGAGACATTATAGAAAAATCAAAAGCAAAGCCATGAACCTCAAAGTGGACAATATCATACTATTATCAAGAGTGCCATGGTTGTTCCCGTAAAATTATCAATTCAAATTATATAACACTTTTTAGTATAAGACATTGTGCCTGAGCTCAATAAAGCCTGTGATGGGCAAAAGAAATATTATTAATGCATTTTCTTGAAGGAAAAGACACTCCACAAACATGAGTGGTACAGCCAAATTACTATTACACACCTGATATGGCCGAATTATTATTACACATCATAGCAATAAGCATATTATTAATGCATTTCTTGAAGGAAAAAGACACTTCTCAAACATGAGAGATACATCCAAATTATTATAACACACCATAGCAATAATCATACTCCAAATTGCCTCCAATTGTAATCCTTCAGCATAAAGGCAAATTCTTCTTTCCCAATATTTTGTTGGCAATGGGGAAGTCGGGAGCTATATCCACAGGTACCTGAAATGGCGAAGTGGACGGGAACTAGTTAGTTTCTAAACATCGATATACTATTAAATTTACAGCATGAGTTCACCTTTAATAGACTATCAGTGTCACTTCAAAATGGCATAATTCAATAAGAAACAGAATTCATAAATATTAAAACACATCAACCAATCAAGATGTCCAACCATTAGTATATCACATCAACTTAACAACTATTTACTTTACTCATTTACCAATTCTATATCTCATAGTATATTTTGAGTCATATTTTATTGAAAAAATTCAATTATTCAATGGTTTATCAATAGGAGTCAATAATTATAGGGAGGTGTATTTGTAAAAGATTAAGATATATGTTCTTGATGTAATTACTGGAATTTTCAATCTTTAAATGTAATAGTGAATCTGTGTTATTTGTTAGCGTTTACCTGGATTCGTTCTAAATTTTGCAATGCTGATTTCAATGGTTCGGACATGACACCATATTTCTGAAGAAGCAGCCTTGCTGACTCCTTGTCACCTCTTGCCTGTATGGTTAGTATCTCCCTACTCAGGCTTTCAACTGCATCTTCCACCTTAAAAGAAAAATAAAGGACTCATACACTTAAACTATAAGGACTAACTCATTTGAAGATGAAATTTAGACGTCTAGGGGCTGTACCTTGTCAAAATTAACAGAAAATGTTTCATCTGGATTTAAAACGAAGGCTTCTTTCTCATGTAGCCAATTGAACTGCAAGGCCTGTCCTTTTCTGCCAATAAACCGGAAATCTAAGATGCTAGGCAAGGAAACATAAGCGGAAGAAACAATGTCAAGTTAGCTTACCCATGAGCCTCCGTTAAGCCGAAACGTACTGACCGGAAACATCCCGCAAGGAAAGTAGTATACACAGACTTCAATGAAGCTCCTGGTAGAAGACCCTGATTGAGATTCCAACATATTAAATAAGTAAATAGATGATCGGTGAACCCAAGAAATTTTTAAAATACTGTAGTTAAGAAGGTCGATGGATCCAACCAACCAACCTGGAGGTTGAGGAACTTCAGTGCCCAAAGGCCTACAATGTCAGCTTTTGCTTCCTCCATAGCTGAGTGGAGTTCTTGCAGTTCCTGTAACAAAAAATAGAGATACGATAATACACTAGAAAGGCCTCCAATAAAACCTGGGAACAAAAAATAAATGTGGAGGGTCGAGTTATTCAGCAGGATCAAGACCACAAGATTGCTCAAAATAGAAAAGTGCACAGCTCCATTCATAAAATACCAACCAAATTTATGGTCTTAGGAATCACAGGACACACCAACAAAAGTAAACATCTACAATTAAGCCCAAACAGATTCAACAACCAGCAGCACAACGGTCTCTTTCCATCCGAGCCAAGAAATTGTCTCCATTCACGAGACATAATTGCAGAAGAATAAACCAAATTTCCAGTCGTAAGAATTATGAGATAGAACAAGAAAGTCAGAAAACAAACATCTTGTTTTCGGTTATAATGAACTTTGATAGTCGGGTGAAGAATGAACACTATATGAAAGAAACGCCTTGTATGTACAAAGATGAGAACCACAACTGATGAAATTTACAACCTAATTACCTTATTCATTCTTCACCAAGTCGAAAGATTCACAGAATTAGGGTAGGGTTCCTAATCCAATCCTAAATTGCATCAAAGTGAAAAAGTCTTTGCCGATTTTAAATCCTTCAACAGATCCTCTTCAACTAAAGTCACTAGATATGTAATCTAGACGATAAATCTATATAACTTAGAGAATAGGGATGGCTCCATTTATTATTAGGTTTTTTATACTTTTAAAGTATAAAAAAAGTGAGGACAGCATGTCAACCAGTGTTTTTTTTTTTTTCTTTTCTAATTTTGAAAGCAACATTCATATCCAGAATGATAAAATAAACATCAAATATAAAATTTGTAGTACTTACAGTACATTAGTACTCAACTTAACAATCTCGCATAGATTTTTGTCTCAGTACAAGGGGAATATGCATAAAAAATAAAAAAATAATAAAAAAAAGAAGAGAGAGAGAAAAAAAAATAGAACTAATGACAATCAGATATATCAAAACAGAAAATTTATGGTACTAACCATTCTCACGGTTGATTTTTTACCATTCGGGAGTGTTATGGTATGAGGTCCAATCCCGTGGCAACACTCATGGCAAATTGTATGAGTAAAGAAAGAATCGAAATCCACATATCCACGTTGCTCATTCGTAATACAAACATCAGCAATAGGCTGAAGAATATGCTTGAACCTAGAAAAATGTGAAAACAAGCACATCTAAATATGTCCAAAAATTTCCCAAAAGAGAATCCAAAGTTAAGATAAAATGACAGTTGAATCCACGACAAAGAAAATGTACAGTACTTGGCCTCTGAAACGTTCTTAAGCATAACCATTGATGTTCCTCGGTCTTTCACAATTCGCTCGTCATTTGGCAAATTAAAAGCAACAGTCTGAGGGCCCTTTACATCCTGATAAACTCCAACGAATTAATCTCAATGTCATACAGATCTACTTTAAAGATTAGCAAGGTTTGCCTCTCCAAAGCTATTGAACAATTCATGTAGAAACTACTGGTCTCCACAATTATTTTCAATAAATTACCATCCAATTTCTTGATAGGATAATTCTCAATTCTCAAGTAAAACACACAAGATATGCATCTCTTTCCACAATCTTTCAGTATAAAACTTTGTACATAAAACTACGGAAAAGCATGTCTTATGAAATAAATGAACGTTTTATGTGAACCTGTGAAAATCGTGAAAAATTAACTCACCCCAGCATTGTAGAGAAGCTGGACAACCCGAATGGGAGCAGCACTAACATCTTTTGACTTGTATGCATTGTTCATAGGGAGATTTTGTTCCAGAACCTATAATAAGAACTCCATTAGAACTATTTTCCAAGGGGGGAAAACTTTGCTCTTCTCCAAGAAAAGATCAGAAAGTCACCTTTTTTGGATACGAAACTTGGATGTGCATTATAGACAGCAAAAAAGCCAAAAAAGCCAACAAAAAAGAAAACATATTGTGACTTGGACAGTTAAAAAAATACCTGCAAATTATCACCAAAAAATTTTACTTGAGAAGTTCCTTTATCATCCCGAATTCCAATGAAAGCTTCAAATGTAGCCTGATGCAATCCAAAAATTTAGCATCGTTAGCATATGAAGGTTGTAAACTGACAAGAACTGATAGTTTTAGAAAACCAGTAGATTCAAGTTTGTTATAAAAAAATTAGTAACAAATAGGATACTAATGAAGCCCCACTGTACGGAAGGGACCACACCAAACAGTAAATTTACGTTTGATATAAAACCTGGCACCAAATAGAGTGCCAAATAGGAACCAATAAATAGAGTTCCAAACAGGAACCACACTATGGGAGATATCACAACATCTTGCTCTCATTTTAAAGGAAAAAAAGTTCGTTTCAGGAATAGAAAGTTCTCAAAAGAATTTCAAGCCACCAAACAAAGATATGGCTGCTTGAATCCAGCTTATTCCAAGAAGGTAAAAACAATCAATGTCTAAGCAAAATTCATAGCTGAGTTAATAGGTACCTTATACCCAAAAAGTGCATCTTCATAGGTCTCATACGGACCAATGGTAACATCCAACTTAGAGTCCTACAAATGTGAGAAGAAACACAATGTGAGAGAAAAGGAACAGCAATGCTGTTCAAATGGTCTAATACTCGCGTCTATACATTGTTAATATTGCAAAACTTGAAGACTCAAATTTATAAATAGAACACCAAAACAAATTATCAAGTACAACTTTCTTCTTTGTTTTTCTCGCTATGGAATATAAATATAGGTGCTGATAATAGTCAATTACATCCATTATTAAATTCCCATAATTAGATAGATCAGATGTGGCAATGATCAATTAATGTTGTTCTATATTTTAAGTTCAATAATTCATCAATAAGAAAAAGAAAATGTACAAAAACTATAGGAGAAACATGCTTTGGTATAAGCATTCATTTAAAGTACCTTTTCTCACCATCACCACCAAAACAAAAGCCCTACCTAGGACATGAACGAGGAAGAGAACACTAATGACTCAAACTACGGCATAGTCTCTCACGTTATTTGATATTAGTTATCTCATGCAAATTGCAAAAACAACAAATTCATGCTTTTTGGTTGATTTAAAGTGTTAGACCGAAAAAGAAAAATAAACAAAACAAAACTCACTCTCTAGAAATTAAAAAATATTTTGAGTATAAGTGAAAACATCAAATTCTTTTGTAAAATTGCACAATATGCTTTTCCTTGGTGGTGCTCAAATCATACGAAATTCTTTTATATTTCTAGTTTTAATAATTGTTTCCGATTGGAAGGCTCTTCTCTTTTGTAGCTTTTTGGGCGGGGAGCACTGACTCCCTCCCCCCCGCCCCTAAGCTGTTCCTCGGTTTGGTGCTTTTTAAATATATCCCATTCTCTGTTTCTTATTAATAAGAACACACGCACAAACAAAAATGAGACAAGACAAGACAACAAACAAAAGCAAAAAGAGTTCAACTGACACATTGGAAATGAGAACTGTACCTAAGCAATTCCTATACATCCCATTCAGGATTCCCATTGTAGCAATCCATGTCTAACAAATTAACTAGATATGTATTGCATTCACGGCAATACTATGCAAATGTAATGAACTTGTGAAACTAACCAAGTCCATCCATGCCATATCTGATTCATAGTAATCATTCGAGAGGAACGCATTTGCCTTGCTATGTAGTAATCTCTTCAAGCTATAGAAAGGAAAAATATTTCAGAAAACATTGTAAGCAGAATAATCTAGATTCAGAAATTAACAAAATTCACGTAAAATGTAAAATTGGGAAAACTCTTACCTGGGAGAGCTAGTTATATCTCCTGCCTTATGTAATAACTCAGCGGCTTTTGACAGGAAAGAACTATATTCCTGGGAAAAAGGTACATTGTACAAATCATAAATAGAACCCTCCGAAGGATTTGTGCTATCAAGACCACTACTGCAAATAGACAAATCTAAGTTAGATTCACTATGTCTTCGAATGACGCTGAAGAATCCTGCAACAACATCTTGCTGATCCTCCGTCAGACTGTCCTTCCATTGTTTGAATTCCTACAAGATTGTAACAAGAGGTTGCACTCGCTGCATCTTAAATCTTTTTTCTTTTATATGAACGCATATCATTTTTTTCTTTATCAATCTAAGTATACTCATTGCATACCATCTTGTCCATGTCAGGAGGGTAGAAATTTGCACCAGGAGGTTTCTGCAATGGAAATGCAGCTTTATATTTCAGGCCATTCCACCCACAAACTGGCCTAGTTGCTTCAGGAAGCAACTTTATTGCCGAATCTGCAGTAGTCAGATATGCATCATTTTCATCAAGGGAAGACCTGTTGAAAGTGAAACATAATTTATTGAGGTGGAGTAGTCCAGCTTTTAAGAAAACACATTGGCAAAGAAGACTAAGTCATGAAAGAAAGAAAAATAAAAAATAAAAAAGATTAGCAGACAGCGGAGAAATACAGAAAGCTGCAATTTGCAACCAGCCACCCACTGACGCCGCATTAATGCACATATAAGCAGAAGTGCATGAACATTGAAAAATTAAGACATTTAGTAAAATTGTAAAAAATCTTGATTTGAAGAAAACATACCATGGAGTCTTGTTAATCAGATAATAGGCCCACTTCAATTCATCTAACTGCGATGAAGCAGCATGCTTCTCCAACCAATCTCTTAAATCTGGATTACTGTACCAAACCTGGACAAAATAATATGAAACCATAAATTCTAGATGAACTCATAACCATCAATCAATGATTTAGGAAACAAACCAGTTTCATAAAGCTTTTTGATTTAGAAGGGTCAGAACGAAAAATAGAAACAAAGAAAGGATTCTCTTTAAGGTGAAAAGAGAATGCCGGAATGGATCATTCTCTCTCATTCTCATTCCTATAGTTTACTAAATTTATGAAAGAATAACAAATGATTTCTAACTGGTGAGCTCCAGAATAAAATTGAGAATCATTTCCATTGCTTTATTATTATTCTTGAGAAGGTAGGAAATATTTCCATTATCCGTTCATTTTGGTGGATGCTACCACTTTTTCGTTTATGTTTTGCTTCTATCTCTACTCTTTCACAGGTCCCTGGTGGGACCAAAAAGCATTGTGGCAGTATTTAATCCTCTTTGGGAAACATTGAACAAAAGGAAGCCTTGGCCTTTATATCAGGCTTAGCTCACAGGGTAATGGGCTTTATTTACAAAGGTGGTCAATCCATTATTAACCACAGTAACTATCTAATAATCTTACCAGGAAAACAAATAATTCATTATTAACCACAGTAACTTTCTGGGTTTTGTTCAGGCCGATGTACTCTCCTCCCTTCACTTTTTGAATGTTCAATCACTTGTAGCAGTTACCTTTCCTTTCGCATCTCTGGCCAAGCATTTTTACCTCCAACAATTCTCTTTCTACTTCTCACGCAGATTGCCATGTAATTTTACCTCGTAGTGTGCAATTTAGTTATTGCACCAAAATCATTATTTTTCGTAAGAAAGTTACTCTATCCTTTCACCTCAATTCACCAAACTCCCAATACACAATCTTATTCGAACCTATTCAACCGGGTTTCCACCACGCCATCGCCAGATAGGTTCCTATCAGATTGTCACCAGAATGGATACTCTTATACCAATTTGAAAAGAATTAAGAATATGTTGATGTTGATAAGGAAACCAGAGGAAGGATCTGAAGAGCCTTACCCCTACTTTTCCAAATCCAATCAAATTGAAATACTCACTGAACTCGATATTTGCCCAACCCCAACTTAACAACATAAACTCTAATCACTTTCCTCTAAGAAACTAGGAAACGATAAATATGCCCTTGACAACCAGCCGATACAGGCTTTAAAAACTCAAAATATTCATACCTAGCCCAATAGCCACGAGTTTAAAGATTCAAAGTATCATCCTTGTCTTAGTGGAAGTGCCTAATACACTAAAACATTATGCAACAGCCTTGAAGCAGATACCATCCTGCTTAAGTTATCTCAACCATCTTTTGATTTTATTGCGATCACAGAACTGATAAGATTAAACTGTGTCAACATGTTTTCTTCTTGCGTAACAAAACAAATTCAGTGTCTCTTGAGAGATATTCCATCACAGAACTGATTTAATCAAAGAACATTCAAGAACTTTTCAGCCTAACTCTTAACCACATATTGTATCTTTCCTATGCCCACAAAATTAAAGCAAGCAAGCTATAAAAGTCTCCCCTATAAGATTACTTCACAAAATGTATATGCGAACCTGCAGGCAGAATATTTCATCCATTATTGCAGCAGCCTTGATAAGTAAATCCAGAGCCTCTTTATCCGCATCTGTAAGCCCTTCCAACTACAGAGAAGAAACACACTCATTGTTTAAGGCAAACGCCAGTAGAAAGAAAATAAAATAATAGAAAGTCATTGGATATTGCATTAAAACCCTGTCAGCACAAGGAATAAGTTTCTTTAAAGCCCCATCAACGAGTTGCTGCATTTGTTTTTCTAAGTTCCTGTTTATATTAAGAATTGAAAAACTTATTTTTCAATACCACCAGTATTTCCATGTCTAAGTTTTTAGAAACATTAAATGTTAGATCTATAAACAAAAAAAATATATAAAAAGACCAAGTGCCCTTTCATGAAGATGAAAACATAACCATTTTTCTAAAATACTGAATGCATTACACCAAAATCTGATAGAGATATTTTTTTTAAGCTTGCATTTTATTTGCTTTTGAATCTTTACTACCCTATAGTTCAAAGTTCAACACACTTATAATGCACAGTTCATCCTTCTATACAAACTGTGATAAAGGAATAAAAGAAAGAACACAAGAGAAGATATTCGAGATATGCTTAGAAACTCGGTCATGAGAGTATCAATACACAGGAAACTCGGTCATGTTTCCTTTATTATGTCATTTGAGGTGCCTGTCCCCTCCATTTGCAGAATTTTTTCCCTCTATATCTACTTGTATCTAGGCAACTAGAATTCTTCATAGCCAGATAGAGCTAGAAGTTCAAAACGGTAGCTACCTCAACATTGAGTGAAACAGAAGCATAGCGTTGCAGTTGCTTTTGTAAAGTTAAACTCCGTGCCACATTGTCCACTTTGTACCTAAGTAAATTTTCAGGGGAAAAATGGGGTCAAGTGCAAAAATAACTTTGCCTGTACGAAATCAAGAAATGAGATTCTTCAGATCCTAGAACCTCCAGGCTTGTGGGCAAGTGAGAGTGAGAGAGATTACAGCTAATTGACGAAATACATTTTTAAAAGTAAAATCTACATATCATGCCATGTAGATTATATCGTTGTTGCATGTATAAGATTGAAGCATAGTGGTGTTACGACTTACTATACACCACAACATAAATAGATTACATCTTACTCTTGCTTAAGAATGCTCTCTCTCTCTCCCTCTCACTTCAGTTCTTTATTTTATTTTATTTTATTCTTCCTTTTTTTTTAATAAGAAACCTAAGGTGTGTAATAGAACAAAAGGAGAAAAAGTAACAATCTAAGGGCCGGGGGAAGAGAGATAGGATAACTAGACCTTCCAATAAAAAAGGGTCATAGGGTAATTAGAAAAGAATTAACTATATCCGTGGCACCACCAAGATGCATTTAGATGTACAAAAGCCCAAAAGGTAGAATATATTACAATTTATCCTATGAAAAGACCCCAAAAAACATGCGGATATTTCAGGCAAAGAAGGTAAGCGAAAATGTTTCATCTCTTATTACTACTTTAAGATAGAAGAGATTAAAGGCTGACGGCTTTGCTATAATATTATATTTCATCCTACAATAGATCAATTTCACCATTTTTCTATTGGAACTCAAGGAGACAGTTCTACAGCCTATAAAATAGATCTTGTTCAAGTAAGATTGTTCACTATGTTTCTATTTGAAAATTGAATAATACAAATTTCATAATGAAAAAAAGTAAATCATCTCTTCCAGAATGTTAAGCCAGTCAACAACGTACCTTTGTGTAATTATGTCAAAAAGTTGACCATATTGCCCATTTACATCATATGGGACATACCCAGGATCTTCGTTTGCAAGTAAGCTTTTATACTCCAGGTAATGTATATATTTAACAGCAGACACTTCTGATTCCTACATCAAATTTAAAGCAAAATATATGTTCACATTCTCATACAGTTCAGTTTCTAATGCATTCTGGCCATTACTTCTTTAGGCACATAATTCATTTAATTGCAATAGCCTTTGAAGCTCAAGTATGGACTACAACGAAGATGTGCAATTACTTCCTTTTTTTTTTTTTTTTTTTCTGGGATACCTATCAGACCCTCTTTCATTCTGTTGTCAAGACAACTTCTTGAATATTAAATCGTGGATAAGTGGTCATCATGGTTTGGATTTACTCCCTCTAAGCCATTTACTATTTTTATTGGCTCTTATTGACCATTAGACCAAACCATAGTGGTTTTCTCTTCGATTTCATTTCCATTATTCTTGACATCTATCAGTGTGGATGAACATAGGTGCTTGCCCTGTTTTATGGCCATGTAACTTCTCAAAGTAATGTCTATGTGAATAAATGTTGAAATATACATAGTAAGTTAGACATCAAGTTTTCGAACAAACTAAGACTTTTAGTTAAAAGATTATCATATAATTAACCATAAAGACTTCGAAAGTTTTAAAGATTAAAATATAAATTTGAAAGTTTAGAGATTAAAATAGAAAAAATAAGAAACTACAGGAACCAAAATATGATTTAAATCTTAGATATTTCTCTTCTGGTTGGTGTCTACATCAAATGAAACTTGCTTTTGCAGAAGCATTGAATAGCCTTTATTACTGCCATCTCCACCTGATCTCAAGTCTGTCTTCAAAATTCTATAATTTCTTTGCAGCCCCAGTGTCCAAAATATTGCTTTTTGTTAGATTGACCCAAGAAATATCTGTTTTCCCGGTGAACTATTCCCAATCAACAGGTGTAAGTTCTGTCTAGTCAAAGTAAGGAAGATTCTTTGTGAACTCAATAAGCCTATAATCAAACTCCAGCATCTCTTACTGTCTCCGCAATAAAAGAATAAGTGCTGAAGAGTTGAAAAGAACAGTTGCCATTATTAAACCATCCTACCGCATTCTAGTTTCTTACTACATTTAACTGTTAGAATAGAAAGGCGAGGTATATCCAAGTTTGTTCGAAGATGTTAGAAGATGCAAGTTTAGGATGAAGGTCACAGGCTCACAGCACACCTATGTAATCTTACCATTGGAGCTTATAAGTTAATGAGAAGTTCAATCCAATTAACATATGCGGGTGGGGACAACTACTGATAAATCCGTTTCAAACCTAAGCATATATTTGGTTCTCTACTACCTTTTTGTCCCAAAACCCCTTACCAAAAAATTTAGAAGTTCAAATATCGTAAGTCAATGTCTTACGTCTTTCAAGAAAAAAAATATATTTTTTTCAAGAATGCTTTGCTGGCTAAGGAAGCACAAACAAAATTTAACATGTCAAAAAAGAAAGGGGGAAAGCTGCAGGACTCATATTCCTAGTTAAGATTAAATGAGAAACAAATAGATGATTAACCTGAAGAGTAAAAGCCTCCAAAGGGATTGGATCCAATGTTGTTACCAAATACACGTCCTCAAATTCATTATTGATAAATTGTCCACAATTTGTGATGCTGTATATCAATCCAAGGCCAAATCATTAAAAATAACAAGCAATACAGGTGTTGATTCTGTTAGAAGACCTCAAAATAGAATTGAACTAATATGCCAATGTATACCAACCGTTAATACACTTTACAAGATGTCATATTATATGTTATTTCTACCATACAAGAAAAAAAATGCTGACATGACCTCTAGATATTGTTGGATAGCATTGAAAGATGTTATCAATTACACTGCCAACAAAGATGTTCAGACCTAAAATAATACAGATTGTGGATCAATGTGCATATTGTACATGATCAATGAATTGGAGAAGGAAAAAAAATTAAGAAGGTGAAATCCCTATAATTTTTTTTATATAGAAAACAAAATTCCATCGAAAAAATCCATGGAGTTCGAAATACAATACTATAAGTTCTCTTGATAGGAGAGCAAGGACTCAAGCCATAGACTTTGAAGCGGGAGAAATCTTACTTTCAAAAACAAAATTCTGGTAAATTTTCTATGGAAAACCCTGCTTCACATGCATAAAATTTTTCTTAACCAAAAAAAAAAAAAAAAAAAAAATCAACAATATGCAGGCATTGAACTGATCACAGAGAGAAACTTAGCTATAAAATTTATTTTTAAAAGATAAAACGGGGATATAATTAAGCACATCATATGCAATGTCTAATTTTATCACGGTTACTTGGAACGATCCACTAACGTCTCATGGAGAAAAACAAATATCATTTCAAATGCGTCCTTTGGAAGAATAACGCCAAGCTCTTCTTGAAGCTCCCTCCTGAAAGAGTACACGTAGATTTCTTCGTCATTTTTTCAGTAACAACTGATTTAGAAAGCAGTGGAATGAAACACCAGGAAATCACAATGTAGAACCAACAAATGGTGCCATATTGTCCAAGCCAGGGAAAATAATCAAAAAGAAAAGTTAGAGGCCTTGAACAGGTAACCAGAACTAATCAGGTCATTTCAAGACAAAAGTATGAAGGCTTTCCTTAGTATTTATCCAATAGCCTAATTAGAGAAGAAAATGGATTTTTAACAAATACTAACTTCTCATTGATTAATTAAAAGAAGCAAAAATGCTCAAGGACACAGATTCTCAAAGGAGAGAGAACAAGGAGAAAAGGAAAATAACAAAATAAGTGAGGAAGAATGAATAAAAGCATCCCGATTTGTGGAAATAACACTCGAAGAATAATGATCACTAAGCTGGGGAGTGAACTCAATTGAGAAGCCTTGAGCCTAGCAGGATTAAAACATACAACCCAAACTACACTCAGAATTGGAATCCAGCAATCTAGTTTGCTATCTTGTATGCCAATAATTTTCTGGAACTAAGGGACATCCAGAAAAGTTATCTTTATAATTATCATACACAAAACATTCATTTACCGTTACTGGAATCTGTCAACTCCTTGGTTTAGTTGACACACTTCATGAGGTATTTTCTACATTTTTGTTTCTCCATTGACAGAGTTGAAACCGTGAATTTAAATGATAATATGATAAATGAAATTTGACCCATGCATTCAATAGAGCATGCTCGTATCTTTTTATGGAAGCTTCTTTGTAGTCTTAAAACCTAAAACAGGAACGGTAACTGATTAGTTAGATGAAAAGACAATTAATCATCAACAATATTACCTAGCTGTCACGAGTGATGAATCGCCAGCAGATATGTGGCCGGCACTGGATATATCCCACAACCCAGGCCAAGAGTCTTTGCAGTCAGCACGTAGTTGGATAAGTAACTCTTGTGTACTCTCAGCAAAAATCCACACGTGAACAGCCCGATGGTAGTCCCCATCTCTATGAACAGCTCCCCTGTATTGTCCAGTAAAGTATTTATGATGGATATAGAGAAATATTTAGCTTGTCTAGTAAAAATAATCACATGGTGAAACCTTTTTTCCTTTTTTCTTTTTTTCTTTATTCTTTTTTCATGAACTTTTTTCCGAATCTATCTCAGTCGAAGCATTCATCACTGTAGTGCTTATGGAGAGTTGTGGAAGGAAGAAGAAGACACCCATGGAAAGAGAAGAAAATCAGAGAACGTGCTCCGATACCATGAGAATAGATGGATTTACAGACTCCATAAGAATCAGAAATTACATAAGACTTAACGAACAGTTTACATTAGAAAGTACACAAAATGAAACTATCAGATAACAGAATACACAGCTAAAATACAACAGATAATGGGTTACATGATACTCTTGAGCAAAATCAAGCCCAAACAACTACACAAAGTGATACATACCCTGTTTGCAGCTGAGAACAAAAAAAAAAAAAAGATCACAGCAACAAGAAGACGAATTGACTTCTTCGGTGTTCTAGCACTTGGCAGTTTGTAGGATTAAGTTTCAAGCTGGAAGCTAGATAACCATCATTTTCAACGACAATGAGACACGAAACCCATCTAATTACACAACCAAAAGGCCTACGGACATTAAAAGAAGAAGACTAAAGTGTGATTATCACTGTCCCATCATCTTGATGGATATGGATGAATAGTTAGAAAATAAGGAACTCGCATCAAACAAAAATCACTGCATCAATCAGCGATAGAACGTGCCAATTGTTACTCGTGTAAACTACTTTTGCGGTCTAAAATTAACAATCAACCAATCGAACGTGTATAAGCAAACAAAATGAAGAATAAGGATAGTAAAGAAAATCGTGCCTGGGCTTTGAAACTCCAGTCTTCTCTCCAGTTTTGGTAAGGACGTCGAAATGCTCTTCCTGCGTGTGAGGCTCAGCCATTGATGAACTTTGATTGATAGGCGTGGATGATAACCAGCTCGGTCTCTCCAGTTTTCTCACCCAGATAGTAACCAGCTCAGTCTCTCCGGCTGAGCGATGGGTAAGTTGGAAGTGATGAGAAAGGGATGATGCTGTGTTTATATATATATATATATGTATGTATGTATGTATGCGTGTGTGAATGTGCTCATGTATATATGTTCATACATACACATAAACACAGCATCATCCCTTTCTCTCACTCCAAGTTACCCTCTCTAAGATTTCTTTCCTTAAATTGTTTTTTTTTATTCTTTTCTTCATAATTTTGAAATGGATAATAACATTATTGAAAAATGTTATAATCTGTCGATTCATAGAATTGCAATTATAAATTCAAGATGAGATGACTTGTAATCGAAGAAAACTATATACAAGTATAGTGTTTGTCGCATTGACTTTGATCTCGAGTCATAAAATAGAGTTGAAAAGTAAGTCATGTAGGCCATGTAGGCTTTTCCCGTTGCTTGGCATCCCTAGGGTTTGTGGAGTTGTCTTAAGGTCAAAGAGACGACAAGGCTACCGTGCCCTTGCCTTCGTCAATCTTACCACTTACACTTCTTGGACCTCTCAGCTCGACTGGTCCATGGATGTGGTTGGTTGGGCTCGAGAGTTGTTTGGCTTTGGGCTTGTTCGATTCAAAACTTACTCATTTAAAATATTTTATTCTCAATATTCTTCTGACCCTTAATGTCGTCGTCGAATGGGACATATTTTTAATTTATTTTAAATATCTATTATACCACGTGTATAACATAAAAGATGTCTAAAAATTAATAGTATTTTTATACTTTATAGCTAAATAATTTATTTCCAACTCAATAGGAAACGAAATAACGCATTATCTAGATTGAGTTAATGTGATGTGAAGAACGTTAAGTGAACGATAACTCAATTGTGCAATGAATATTGGCGAGCCAAACATTACTTCTGTTCAACCAACCATCTCATAAATTTATATTAGTTTATCACGTGGAGAAGAAGATTTAAAATTCGAACTTCTCAAAGGCATTGTATATGTTTAAACCGATAGGTTAGAACTATTCTCGATTACGATTATCAATTTTTATCGAGGTAGCAATTCACGAGTCAACCAACACAGATTTGATGCATCTTAGGCACCAAAATGAGTAACTAAGGCATTTTTTGAAGTTTTTTTTAGATATCAAGAATGCATCTTTTATCAGACATCATGTACTGTACAGAGAGTTCACTTAGATTTTACTACACGGCCTTGTATGACAAACCGACTGATTTCAAAAAATTTCCCTCTTCTTTTCAAGCCTCCAAACAAAAGGGGCGAGCTCCCTAGTATCACAGAATTTTCAGCTTCCCTTTAGCCATGGAAGTCTTTACAAGCTCCTGTAGACACTCAGCTTTTTGCGCCCCAGTCAATCCAAAGCAAGAGGAGGAAGAGCCTAAGGTGACAGCAAAGTAAAGGTAAATTGTGCAAAGAGCAGTCAGGAGGACAAGTGCCGTCAGGAGGAAGCGATGTCGCTGAACGAGAGTCGACCAACCATCCAACTCATCCGTAAAGGACTTACAGAATGATGGAGACCTCCTGTGAGGAGAAGACAGTGCACTGTCAAGAACCATGTGCATGATCCAACCTCCTCAGGTAGCCTGAAATGTACAGCACAGATTAGATAACTTGCTACAGGATTCTTAATTTTTGTTCACGACAAGGAGGGGAGTTCATAGAGCAGGGTCTGCAGCATATTTTGAGGAAGAGTAATTGATCTCAGTTTCTAATATTGTTGGTGGTGATTTCACCCAGAACAAGACATTCCAGATATAATACAATTAAAGACCAAACACGGGCACTCTACTCTATGTAACAGCCCAAACCCACGGCTAGTAGATATTGTCCGCTTTGGCCTGTTACGTATCGTAAGCCTCACGGTTTTAAAACACGTATGCCAGAGAGAGGTTTCCACGCCCTTATAAGGAATGCTTTGTTCTCCTCTCTAACCAATCTGGGCTCTCACAATCCACCCCCCTTAAGGATCTAGCGTCTTAGCTGGCATACCGCCCGGTGTCTGACTCTAATACCATTTGTAACAGCTCAAACCCACCGCTAGTAGATATTGTCCGTTTTGGCTCGTTACGTATCGTCGTCAGCCTCACGATTTTAAAATACGTCTGCCAAGGAGAGATTTCCACATCCTTACAAGGAATGTTTCGTTCCCCTCTCCAACCGATGTAGGATCTCATACACTAGCACAACTCTCAATCTCTTAGCTCTAATACAAACGGATGCAAAACACATGCGAACAAGTAACCAACCCTGGTGCAGTTCTCCAACTCTTCCATTGCCAACTGATGTAAGAATGAGGCAACCAACCCTCCCCAAAACAGTCATGGCAAATAGGACTACAATACAAGTCACGAGAGATCAAAGCCAAGTCGGATTAGCTTTTCAACAAACACCCCAAAACTAGCTATCTTATAGCAGACAACTAACGTAAGCTTACACAACAAACGGAGAAAACATTATCATACGACTAATCCAAAAATGCAGTTCTCGGCCCATTAAGCATATCTCTTGGAAAGAAGAAGAGGAAAGAAAAGATTATCGACCGAGTTGACGAGGGATCAACGTTACTAATCATAATTTATGGATGGTATACACACACACACATATTAGAGGAAAACAATATGGTAAAGCATTCAATGGTGTATGATACAGTCTAATTGAGAGAGAAACAGCTCATCAAACAATTACTTCCAATGCATTATGGAGAAAGCCAAGATCTCCTTTCGCACCAATATCATATAAGAATGACATAATCGAATTCTGAGAAATCTACCAAGAAGTAGCCAAGCAGGTTCAAAAGGTGCCTCAAAATTTATCCAAATAGATAACAAGAAAGCACATCACTAGAACATGAAATCAACACAACTCAATCATATAACTCTTTGTTGTAACTTACAGCCCTTTCCGTAAACAATCAAACTGCAATCAGGATAGCTTCAGAAATTTTAAGCATTAAGATAGGCAGGCCAAGGTCGAATGGCAATAGAAACGAAGGGGAAAAAATGACATCATGAAAAGACCAGTTCTGGAAAAGCAGCCTAACAATTTGATATACCCAGTAAATTGCATTCAACAAGCTAAAGCTAACGATTAGAACATCTCATAAATAAGGATTAAAGGACTCGTTAATTGTCAAAATTATGAAAACGACCTGCAAGAATCCCCAAAATTCAGATGTACTGCAGGCCAGAACATTCCCCCCCCCCCCCCCCCCCCCCCCCCCCCCCCC